ACCAGTAGTCCGCGGATGCGGCCCAAACTGGGGGCGTCCGTTCCCCTACCTGAGAAACTCGAGAGGAGCCTTTTCTTCGAAAAACTTTTTTTTTGTCAAAAAAAAACTTCAACGATGTAAAGTCCCCTTCTCGTTCTTCTACTCGAGAAATTGGAGAGAAGCCTCTTTTTTCAAAGAGTTTATTTTCTCAAAAAACTGCAACGATGTAAGCTTTCCAAAGTTCTTCTATGTAAAATGACACTTGAGAAAATGCGCCTGCAAGTTAAGAAACTGCATGTTTCAAAAAGAAACTATAATTGCAAATTCTCCACTCGGGACCAAATATTATAGGACAGTCAAAAGAGCGAGGCTGAGATTTCCCACTTTATTCTTAGTAATTTATCAAACCAAAGCTGTGGTTAAGCTCACCACGTCTATGCATGGAACCGCTGACGTCTATATCCCTTACGCATCATCTCAGATTTCTACGTACGAGATTATAGGATTTGTAACATTTGGTGCAATGACACAAGTCTTTCGACGTCAGTAGAGCTATCCTTCTCGGAAAATGTGGGGTCTACTACGACATCCAGATTGTATTTACAGAGAGAGTGCTCAGCAAATCTAAGTTGCTAATAATCCGTCATCTTACATGTGTATGGTGTAATTACACAGCGAGCCTTCTTATCTCTCTAAATCATGAAATTGCTCCCCGATTTTAATCATCAAATTCGGCTTTGTCCAAAAAACAGTTAAAATTGAACAAAAAATTCTTTTTCCTTGGAATTTTGACCAAGACGAAATCTCGAAATTTTCATTTATACATTGGTTGATGATGAAGTGAAAGTTTGGTTCTCTTTATGCGGTTCGAAGGACTTCCCACGAAATATTGGGATTCTCCAAGACAACAATGAGATATAAAGTGCACTTAGAGTTTAATACTTCTGAAAGAATTCTTTCAATGCTAATGAAAAGGACTTTTCGAAAGTAAAGTATGGATGATATCCAAGCTAACGAAAAGTTCATTAAAATACCAGAGTTGGTAGTTTTTCTACTCTCGTATTGCCATCTTGTCGTGTATTAGGTTGAAAAAAGTCATTTTATTGCCTTTAAGAAAACTTCCTTGTTTTTGATGGAGATTAGCTTCGAACTTCTTTAATAAATATCAAGTTTACAAAAAGATAATGTCATTGACTTCCTGACAATGAAATCCGATGCTTTGGGAATATACGGGGGCTATTGAAAACATCGCTAGATAAAAGCTCATAGTGCAATTGCACACCATACAGCCAATCGTGCGTATACAGACGTCTAAAAACAAAAAACGTGCTATCTCGCTTACAGATGTAGTCTATTCTCGTACAAATCAGTATGTAGACAGATTTCGAAATATATAAGGCACGTGATGGTTTCTTCATGGGACATTAGTATTTTGTGTAATTACACCACCTCGAATGCAGCGGGTGTGATTGCAGACAAACTTGCGCTGCAGGGGACCTTAAGCCATGAATTTTCGAGATAGAATTTTTATAGAAATTTGATTGTTTAAGTTAAATGATGCCCTATGTATAGTCGCGATAAGTAAAATCCAGATTTCGTAAAATGATGAGGGTTCACAGAATCGTGAGAAAATAAGGGAAAACTTCAAGTTCTTGTGATTTTACCCCAATTGATACTACAGTGATTTTGTACATAAACCACACTTTATTTTCTTATAATTTTCTCGTGGAAACTTCCTCTTCATAATGAATTATCGGTGGTTCAGCTTGCAAGTGAATGACTGTTCTGTAAAAAATGTGGAATTTTTATATAATCCTAATTCTATGACAGTGAAGTCAAATTTGGCATGATAGTAAAAGCTAAGCGTAAAGTAACTAATGTAGGTAAGCTGACAGGTATCATCTGCGTTTCCAAGGCGACAGTGAATGTCAAAATAAACACAGAGCTGAGATTCGAGTGTTATTCAATTTATTATTCAACAGCTTCACTTCAGTCAGGCAAAGACATCAGACTTGGCTATGAGTAAGAAACGCTCGGACGAGTTTGTTCGTTCCCAGTAAAAGTGGTTCATGATGGAAGACTGTTGCATATAAGGCAAAATAGTTTGTCATTGCTAATTAGCCAGGATTTTTTCCTATGGCCTAAGACAGTCTATTTTGTAGATAAATTGCTCCCATTCATGAAGCTTTGAATGTCTATAGATTAATTGTCAGTAAAACCCAATATTTGCTATAAAAAAAGTAGATGATTACAAACATAAATCAGTCAAAACATATTTTATCAAAACTTGCTGTTTGTTTGCATCGGGCTACCGTATACGCACAGTATTTGTTGTCAAAAAATCACTGACCATTTCAAAAATGAAAGAGAAATTGTGTGCAGACAATAAGAGGAGTAGGATTTCCAGAAATGTGAATGAGAACGAAATTAATAGAGAAGATGCCTAGGGTAAAAGAGATGAAAGAGCCGAAAGCACCCTATTCGAAGAAGGTACTGTAGCGGATGTAGCAGGTTACTGTAACGGACGTAGGAGGTTACTGTAGCGGATGTCTAACTGCGTACTAACACAAAAAAATCATGAATGCTATTCTTTTCGAATGAAACTTATTAAAAATCTCTCAATCGAAAGTTATTGCATTTCTTTAATAAATAAAATGATGTTGCAACATTTTTGGACTCTTGACGGCTATAAATAGAAAAGAATGGATCTTTTTCATATGACTTTAAGTGGTCATGACGTTTTGCACAAGTTTTCAGTCTAGACCTTCTGATATTTGCGTCTGACATTAGGATATTGGTCTTTGGCTAACCCCACTTAGGCCCACTGCGCTAAAAACGACTTTAGCAATTTGCAAGAGAGAAAGAAAAGCAAAAAAGCTTTTTAATAACTTAGAGAATCCAAACCGATAAGATTTGCAGAAAGTCCGCAATTGCACAAAAAATTCGCTAGCGAGGAGGCAATTCTGATCTTGCATGCTCATATGCGTGGCTTGGCTTTTCAGAAATGTTTACGCGTCCTGCCGCGATGGCGTGTATGGCCAATCAGCTAGGTGGACATGACTTAATCTAAAAATAAATGGCAAATTAGCTAGAACTAGAGAAGCAGAGTCAGGGGCAGACACGCAGATACCGTTAAATTTTCCATTGTCGCTATAAGCAAGTGCTAGGTATTCGCATATATAGAAATCAGACTTGCATTTTTGAGATTCAAGATGACAAGTTAGCTAAAGGGAAGAGAAACAGAGTCGGCAGACACACAGACATAGTCGAATGTCTGGTTGTCGCTTTAAGCAAATCCTCAGCAATATGCGACAATCTGCTGCTGAAGTCTTGAAGGAACAAACGAAATGGTTGCTCCACCCACCAAAACACATTTGCCGAAGCAAAACGCCTACACATAAACGAGAAAAATCTGTTGCAAGAGAAAAAGTCGGTCTTTGGACAACTGGCACATTGTTCACTGAGCCGCCTTTGCTCTTCGTCAGCCATTGTTTTTAGCACGCTACATTGCACAAGAATATCATAAAGGAGGAAAAACGAGAGCGACTATGATGTCATAAGTTCCTGGTTGTGCTCGCGAAAACTGGTCCCCAGGCGTTGTGGAGCTGCTACAGCATTCTGAGATCTTTCCTGCGCGCAATTTCAACTCTTTTGACATCGGAATTTCCTTCAAAAATTCACCATGTTTCATAACCCTTTCTACCCCCCTCCGATAGGGCAGATTTTTTCGAATAAATTTTGAGTGTAAACCCAAAAGCACAAAACATCAACGTCCGAACCAGACCGGATGTGTAATAACACAATGCAAAAGACATAGAGAATCCATTTGTTTGCACTTTTGGGTATACGGTAGAGGAAGCCGCCCCTGTTCTGAATGCATATAATGCAATTTCCTATTTCATTATGGTGGATGAGATAATGAAGATTAACAGCAGAATCGATGGGAACATGATGTGCGCATACTTTATGGAGTGAGAATGGAACAAGTGGGTGAATGAATAGGAAGAAAGAAAGAAGGAAAAAGAGAAAGAATGAAGAATGACGAGTGCACAATTATGATGTGAAAAAAGTGTAGCTTAAACCTTCTGGAGGAACAATCAACAGTGAAAGAATGAATGGAAAGAAGAGAAGAAAAAAGAAAGAGAAAAGGAAACATAGATGAATGAAGATTGATAAAATGAAGTGGTAAGCTGTAACGGAATGCAGTTTATGAGAGGGCGAAGAAAGGAATGGGTAAGAAAGAAAAAGAGAGACTGAATGATTGAGTGAAAACAGAAATAGAAAAAAAAGAAAGTTAGGAATAAACATGGAACATAAAATAAGCCCATGAAAAACTAGGAGAAAGGAAAAGAAAGAAGAAAAAAAGAAAAGGAAAGGATGATTGGGCGATGACATGGAATGGCTGAATGCATAGGGAGAGAGGGAAAGAGAAGAAAGCATCTATGAGAGAATTGTGGACTAAAATAATAGCATGTGAAATGATATGATTCGAAAAGTAGGAAGAAAAGAAGGAAAGGAGGAAAGACAAAGAAACAAGAAGAAAGTGAACGGTGAGATTATGCATGATAGGGAATGGAATGGAATGAATGAGTGAAAAAATGATGGATGAATGAATGAGTGAATGGATGTATGAATGACTAAACGAGTGGCGCGATGCTTTGCAGATTCTGCGTCTGAAGATTGCTGCTCTGAATTTCGTCGAATTCTCCAAATCTCCAGCTCATTCAATTTTCTCAAGAGTCTTGCACGCTTGGTGCAAGCCTTAATTTTAGCCTCTCGCCTCGGATTTTACATCATTCGGACTGCTAGAATCTTTTCAAGTCCTTATGACGGCACATTTACACCCCTCTGCAACATTTGTCAACTATCAAATTTGACAAAGTTCTAAACAGATTAGTGCGAATCCTTCCACATCCTTATAATTGCTTTTTTACACCTCATCTGTTATGTTTGTCACAAGCGATTTTACAAGGCTATAATGTTGATTATTGTGAAAAAAATAGAGCAGCAAATGCACTTACCATCAAATGTATCGTAATGATGTGTGGTACGATCCTCGAGACTGGAAATACCATGCATCTTTCGAAGCGAGTTCACTCGAGGGCCGAGGTTTGTCACCGACTGGAAAACGAGGAAATTAATTATTTGATACCTACAAAATTCACCAAAAGCCCTGCTTATTTGTTACAGAATGCCCATTTTGAATTTACAGCGTAGTCACTACACTTGTATTTCGAACAATTTATAAACCCTCGAGTTTGTTATTAGCCAACATTTCATTTTTTAGGATGCTTTAAAGATCACAAAACTTCATTATAAGGTTTTTCGTTATTTTTTCTGAGCTTTAAAATAGTTTTGACGTTTTTTTGCGAAATGAGGGTTTTTATCTATCGGTCAGATATTATGTAGATAAACAAAGAATCATCAAAATTCTCACAGAAAATTGACTGCGGAACCTCAAAGGAAAGAAGATATTGGTGAGTACATATGTAATTTTGAGTAAAAAAACTGTTGACGTAATTTACAATTTTGTGACAATCTTATGGCCTATCCCGCAAATTTAGAAACTTTTTCTCTGTGAGTTTCATTTAATTTTTGGCCATCGGACATAATTTAAGAATAGAAAGCTAACTAGCTTACATAGCACTCTTAAGCATCAGTTAGCACTCCAGTGTACGGTAGAGATACGGTAAAACCAAAGTTCAGCAACGCTGTCTTTGAGATTGCAAAAGAAATCAAAATGTGTGGTCGCAGATTATCAATTCGATCATAAATTCTAGGAATATGACAAATGCTGCATTTTCTCTGGACCCATAAAACTCAAGAATTCCAAGAAGACGTCGCTTCAGCGCCATATGTAGGACATAAAATGTATTTTATGGTACAGATGTTCAGTTAGCCAAGAAAAAATCGTACCCAATTGCTTTTCATCTCACCTTGGGAGGTCTACGAGTTCGACGAGGTGAGACGCTTGACGAAGTGAGCCAAGGCCGAGAAACTCGATTGCGTCGATACATTTTATGGCTTTATCTTATCTCAACCGATCAATATATTGACGAGAGTACGGTAGGATTACGGTAGCGATCGTAAGCGTGATAAATAATGGGGAATTGAGAAGAGCTGGTGTGCTGATGTGCAAAGTACATGAAAAAGCAATTTCAAGAGCCTAAAGTTTTGAGGATCCTTGAGCGAGCACGCAGTGCTATTTGATGTTAAAGTGGCTCAAGATAAAATCGGGAGCCTTGAAAATCTTCCATAAACAACGGGAAAGAGATGAAAGTTGCTCCACAGTTTTGTTTGCCATTTCTGGGTCCCAAGATCATGACTTATAATAACGGGCTAAGGATGTTTACGTGACTTTGTGTGTGTGTTTGTGTGTCTGTTACGAAATTCGTGGAGCGTGTTCCAGCCAGCGTTTTAAGCCCAAATTTTGTATAGCGCATGCTACCTTCGTGAAAGTCCAACATGCAAAAGCACGAGTAGATTCGTTGAGTGGATCCCTCAGAAATTGCGCGCCGAACGGGTCCACCTGGCTTCTGTACTGCAAAATTCGGTCCGTATCACCACTTTTGGCAGAGTCGTGGATGAGTTTGGTAAGCAAATGTGCAAGCGATGGAGTTTAGCCAGAAAAGTGGTCGAAAGTTTACTACGTAACGAAAACGGCGCCAAAACGAATTGGTTGTGTAAATAGTCAAGTTTCCAAGGTTCTAGCTAAGCGTTTGAGAAGATTTTCGCACAGAGATGTAGCTCACGGTTATCATTACCCTTACGGCGACTACCAAGTTATGACAAATCCAAAACCTATTCAAATTTGCGTCTGTCTTCCTGCGAAAAGTTTCATCCACGCGAAATCACCGATCTCACGTGAAAAGACTTTCTAAATGAGTGGTTGTTTACATTTTATTCGTGGTAGTCGGCATAGCGCGGTGAGTTCCAGTGCCACGATTTTACGAGAATGAGTAAGGCACATAGATAGTAGAGCCAGTGCGCCTCTGCGAAGCAGAGGTGACGCACTGGTTTTTTAAAATTGCCTAAAGCCTCAGCCATTTCTCCTTTGGTATTGTACTTATGACACTATTTGCATCTATGTATCATTTTGCTTGAATGCAAAGAGCTCCTTCTTCATTCCGGCAAATTCAGAGGCATTTATCAACAAGCATGTGAATCGCACCATTTACACATTAACTGACGCATTTTGTCATTTTGATATGTCCCATTACTTCTAGATTTTCTGCTATGCAAGGCATTGGCACTGGCATGAGAATTCTGGAGGACATTAGTCACTGCTGCTCGTTCTTATATTTTCCTCCACAATTTGTCAAAAATATGAAAGGAAGAGACGGAAGAGAAGAGTATCAAGAGGCCATAGCCGAAAATAAATCATCCAATCTTCCGAATAAGAGACTAGACACGGAGTGAATTCCTCACTGCACCAATGAAAATAAGTGAATAGCAATCGCCATCGAAAAAATTTTTTTTAGGCTAAATTGAATATTTACAAATTTTCAAAAATTATTTTAATTGTTTACGAGAATTATGTCACTTGCGCTTGTTTATCCTTCCCCCCCCCCCCCCCGCCCCTCTCGGTGCGTCACTGGTAAATAGAAAATAGCCTTATTTTTCATATTTATTGCTATTCTCAAAAGACTGAATGAAATCAATATTCTCAAAAAACTATCACCAATTTCATATTACTTCATTCGCATTTTTTTTACTTATGACCAAAAAAATTGAAAAACCTAGCTACTTACGCGACAATGATAACAAGCAATTGTACCAAATTTCAGCTTTTCGAGGAAATTGATAAAATTCGAATTATTTGGAAAATAATGACCCAGGATAGTTTAAATGTAGCTTTTTCAAACAAAAATGATCATTGCTTGGTTAATTTTTGGTAGATTTCAATATCAAAACTTTCCAAAGTTTGTATAAAGTCATTGACAGTGTCGTAATTTACACAGCAACTAGAGTGTAAAGTCAATAGCTCTTATAATTATGAACTTTGCGAAGTCTTGGAGTCATAGAGTGCGTGGGACCATGTAATCGAAATTAGATTAGCTTGGTGATAAAACGGATTCATACAAAAAGAAATAAAGTACTGAGTATTGGGGCAACTCTTACTTTTCTCTCTCCACAGATAGCACAATAAATCAACTTTTTCGGTTAGCATAAGCTTTTTACGCTCTATTAAATTTATTCAGCTAACCCGATTTTCTCCCTATTTCGCGAAATTACAGACCAGTACACTATTCGTTCTGATTTGGAGGTACTTTGAACTTTTTATAAAATAGATCAAAAATTTTTGCACAATCAAGTGGTCATTAGAAAGAACATGGGAAGAGATTTTGAAACAGACTTCAAAAAGGGGGTTGAAATGTTAACGAAAGTCACTTTAACCGAAGAAGTAGCTTTGTGAGGTAATCTTCATTAATCAAATTAAGAATGCATAGAATTTAAAAGAAAGAGAGAGCCTCATTACTTTCCGACACCCTAGTAAATAGACTTTTGTTGAAGAAGCGAGCAAGATAAATCTTTTTGCAAGAAAACGAGTTAGTTTGCTGCATCGGCTATCCTATAAATTTAAGTACAAAAGTTTCATTTACTTAGCCTGGATACAATGATGTTTTGCTCAATTTATTTACATCAATTCGGTAAGACGAGAAGTATTTAGAAAAAAAGAAGCAGACATCATAATGCAAAGAGATCAGCCAATTTTTGCTTTTCCCTTCTGCAAAAATCTAAGGATCTTTGCTTTCGTTTGACAATTTTTCTCTGCAAAAAGGGGACGAAACCTAAATTACTTAGTTCAGGATAAAGAGCAAACATACTGATGTGGCAAAAGTTTAAATGCGAGATTTTATTTCATAAATTTTTCTCAAAACTAATAGACCACTAATCTCAAAGTTGCTCGTTGTAGTCGTTGCTAGTCGCTTCGGGACCCGCTCGGTTTCCCGTTATCTAGTGATTTTTGAATGCACCTTACGATTCTTTATATATCAGATTTCCGCAGATGTTTGGCAAAATCCCATATTTATTCGCTCCCGCGCTTCATACTAGAAAAACTTTGTGAAACCATGGTTATTTTTCAAATTTTTCATGTTTTAGAAAAATGGACGGCTTCTAAGGGGTAAAAAAGCTACCTTAAGCGTATTCTAAAGAAGAAGACGTTGAAATAGCATTAAGAAAAGCACTTGGGACCAATATTGGCAGGTGTCAATAGCTTGACAATGCTGTCACCACCGGCTCAGGTATCCGAGCCGACAAAGCCATGTTTACTTTCGAGAATAGGGAGCAAAAGCTTTGAACTGCGAGGTTGTGTAAATCCAGTCTCTTATTCTCTCTACCTGTATAGGATTTCTTTTTGGGAATCACAAAGTAAAAACACTTCAAATTTCTTTTGTCCAGCTGCCCACAGTGACAGAGATATCAAGTACCAAATCCCCCCCCCCCCCTCCTCCCCCGCCTATGCCCAGATTTTCATTTCTTTTCAGGGGCTAATTGAGCGAAAACCCCGCAAGGACTCTATCCCACGGTTCGCTGAACAACTAGGAAATGCGTTATTTAAAGTATGCAAAACGATGACGAGAGAGTTCAATGAGACGTAAGATCAAGCGGATGTAGTGTGATCTCAGAATATTCCGAAACAGAAAAATTGTGTTGCAAACGGCGAAAAAAGGTTTTTAGGGAGAATATTTTTTTCGAAAAGGAATTTTAGGGAGAATATTTTTTTTGCTCTACTGGAATTGCTCACCCACTCGCCGGGAAGACTCAAGACTAAATAGCAAAAAAAGGTAAAAAATCTTCTATGAAATTTTTTTGGATGGATGAGATCAATCAAGTGATTGGAATGACATCGCCAAGTACATATTTGCGTCACTCTAAATTAAACAGCGATAAAAAATGAAAAATTCTATTTCTATGGAAAACCTTTTGAAATGGAGTTAATTGAGAATTATTGAATATCGTCAGACAACTGCAAATTTTTTGTGGGATCAGAAAAAGAGTACCATTCGAGAACGAAAAGAAAAAGCAAGCAAAGAAGAAAAAATTGCTCAGTTGTCCGAGTTGTTTTTGGTCCGCTATGATGAGAACAAGATTCATAAAAAATTTTTTCAAAAAATAATCATTCAACACGCGGAAATGACTCCTTGAATTTTAAAATAATTTTCTGGCCTTCGATCGACCCAATCAGCTAAAAGCATAGTTAGCCAACGAGAGAAAATGCTGGAAATGTCATCGAAATGTCATTTGCATGGCTTGCCACCGCCCAAAGCATTTTAACGAACACCGCCTTGGGACCAATCTCATATTGAAATTGAATTATGGAAGGGTGGCTGGGTAAGAAATTATTCGGGTAATTTTAGGTTATCGAATGAGTTGAAGGATTAATACAGTGAGAACTTCCTGGATGAATCTTCTAATGAAAAGCGAAAAGATCGATTTTTGAATTTTTTGCCAAAGTTGGGACCATTGAAAATTTACATTTATGACCTTTGTTGACTTTTGCCGGCGTTTTCCCATTCCTTTCCATTGATGGCTTCAACAGGGTAAATCGAACGAGTATGAAAATTTTTTTCCAATAATTTACCACTTGTAGTTGCTGTAAAAATACTGTGCGATTTATTTGGCACTTAATAAGATGAAAAAGATTTTTGGCCACATTTAGTTATTGTAGATTACGGTAGACTTATTTGGCAGTATCCTTTGATTTGATTGACTTGGCGGCGGAAAGGCGGGGTTTCGTGGCCCAATCAAGGCGTGATGATCAGAGAGCACGCGCGCGGGAGGGACACAGACTGCATCGCGGACGCGAGCGGCCTTAATTAGGTCACAAAGCCCCGCCTTCCAGCCGTCAATCAGTTGAATCAACGGTTAGAATGATCGTGAATTTATTCTTCCTACAATCTATATGAATATAAAAGTACTCATTTTGCGCATTGATTGGGGGGAGATTTCAACTATAGAATAATTTCTTTGGCGCCTGAATCTATGAAAAATTCGATTAAGACAAAAAATTATTCATTAACAATATATATAACATGAGCCAGTAGAATCAACTGTTATAGTATCTAAAGTCGTACGAGTGCGTAAACACATCTCTGAAAGGGTTGGGTAGAATTTCGCCTCGAAGAGGGCAGCTAAGGTAACACAAAACGGCCTAGGACATATCTTGAAAGCAATTTTTTTCCAGAGCCTCAGGAGCGACCCAAAAGAATTGAAGTGGTGATTATTGACGAAATAATGAGTTTTGGTGTAAACTCTTTGCCCTTGTAATGCACACAAGATTCAATAATCACGTACTTCAAATTCAGTTGGCCTTTTCGTTTCTACTGAGACATATGAAAAACCTGATGTTTTTTCTATGACAGGGTAAACTTCTAAAACATGGAAGCGATAAACTACAGAATTGAGAATGCTGATCATGATAGTTGTCCAAATCGTACTGTAGAGGAGATGAAAATCGAAAAAGAAATCGTTAAGAAAAGCAGTGGGGGACGCTAATCACCAACAAAACTTCAGTCATATATCAAACATAAAAAAAAACTGAGAAGAGGGGTTGGATAAGCACTTTTTCATACGCTAAAAGCCTCATGAAATATTTCAGCCGAGGACGAGTCGTCCTCGGGGGGACGATATGCCATTGCCACGAGTGCAATTGCAGAAGTGATTGTGCCAAGTGCATCTCTCATGTATATGGCGAAAGCCGAGCCGAGGTTCGCCTCGTTCAGTTCGTCGACTCTACTCAAGCGCGAAACGAGAGCTATTAGACCCCGCTTACAGCTATTGTTTGTGCTACTTTAGGGATTTTTTTTCGCACAACTGCAGACTAAGAAGTCGAAGAAATCCATTAGTTTTTGATGTTTTGTCCTCAATATGTAAAACGTATGATCGCATCATCATAAGGACCTTGCATACTTTACTTCGCGGTCAGTCGCGACGCGATTTGGCAATTCGCCAAAAGTCTTCAAATCCAACATTAGCAAAGTGCACGTGTATAGCGTGTATAACTTACGTGGATTGATAAAATGCCCCCTGTCTTCTGTACATTTAAAATGTGCTTAGAGTGAGTTATGGACTATTGAAATATTGCCAAATCGCGTCGCGACTGAAATCGCGTGAATGCCCGGCTCGATACGCTTACATATTGACTGCAACTCAAAAATTTGTCCTTTCGTTCTTTATGTGGAAATAAACGAGAGATCTATATTACCACTGTTAAAGTGTCAGCTTTCAATAATTTCTTGAAGCTAAGAGCTTCAACTCTAAGCGTTCGCCAAAATACCATACCCGGCGACGCTCATTGGCCTGCACTCAGGAGAAGTACGGTCTGGGCGAAAATCTGGAGTTGCATATCATCACCAGGGATGGATCGTTGCCACTTTAAACATGGCTTAGACTAAGTTTTCCCTGTCAGTTTCCTCATGAAAACCACTTTTCTAAATTTCGCCTCACAGCGCGTGTATGTACACAGCACACACGCTATCTTACGATTTTGCTCATAAATTGGCATTTTACAAAAATTCATAATTCTTGGCATTCTTTGACCTCAAATCGCAAAGAGATGCAAATAATTTTACTTATCGCTTTTCTCTACTAGTGCTGTTTTCACTGCTTTCACTAGTAAGTAGACGTGAGATGAGGCGCGCGATATGCAATCTCACAAACTGAATAATTAATGGCTTCACTGCGAAATCTGATGTTTACAGTGTGCAACTACACAATCTGAGCAATCACCGCGCTTTTTTGACTATTATATATGAAACAAAAAAATGCTGCACGCTTCTTTGTAGCAACAAGAAATTTATCATTTTCCGACTGCTTGTGTATGTGGTGTGCAATTACACATATCATCTCCTAACAAATTGGTCAAGAAATACCCAAGATGTTACTGATATATCAGTTAAAGCATATAGTCGACTAGAGGAGAAATAAAAAGAAATTTCTTTAGACGCTCAAACTGCAAGTACACTTGCCGTGAAATGACGCGTCTGGTGTGCAGCACACGTATTAATTTGCGAATGTCTCCACGTTATGCTTTACATAACGCATCGCACACGCGTTGCAATACAACATTTGATATCTCGCATTCATAAGATAGATATTACCCACGAGAATTTCATGCAATATAATCAACTCGTCTGGCGCTTATGCACTTCTTTTTCGTACTTGACGAAAACTAGTCCCCAGAAACTAATTCGTCTTCCTATGATTGATATTGTCCATTCACCCCAAGTTGCTCATTTAACTTTATTTTTAATGACTCAAAAGTCTAAGCGAGTCTCACTTCGTTCGGATCCGTCCCGAACCTGAATCCTTATTGTTGACAGAGAGATATTTTGAGGAGGCCATAAAATTTAAACATATGCATATTTTTGCACTTCAAAGTACTAGTTTTCTTGTTTGAAGTGCATGCTCTTTCATAAAAACAAGATATTCCATTCTTTTAGGATGAAATGTCCACCAAATGATATTGGATATGCACTTTTGAAAACAAGAATGTGAGAGTGATGGCCAGACGAGGCTACTTGCCCTAAAAACAAATTTGATAAGCAAATATGTCAAAAAACCAGCTCGGAGGGAACGAAAATGAGTGAAATGTTGGAGTACGAGCCACTACATGTCAGCCAAAACGTATTTAGAAGATTTTATAACTTTCTCCAAAAAAAATCCCAACCATTTTTAGTGTGTGGGCTATATTTTATTTTTTTAAGTAAAACTTTCTATCTATTTGTTATCCAAGAGAGGCAAAAGTCCATGTAAAGGATGAAAAGCGCAAAAATATCGTATCACAATTTTTTCCAGATCCAACTGCCAGAATTTTCACAATAAAAAATAATTTTCTTAACTTGACATCCTTCCCAAATCTAGAATAAAAGCCTCACCTTGGCAACTGTAGCATTTCCACCAGTGAGGAGTGGCCGTACTGGACCTGTGCCAAGACCATTCATCCTCATCCAGTTTAGGGAAATCTGAAAGAAAAAGTCAAGGATTGGTGCAGTCACGGACATATTTTAGACTTGGTAGTCCTGAGTTTTACGGAGAGAAAAATGGAATAGTTGACAAGCTTTTATTTTTATCTTTATTTTAGGTGCATCAAGGAGGAAAAACTCAAAAAAAAATTCAAACGCGCGAGGCCAGCCAATCCTCAGCCTCAAAGGAAAAGTGGTAGATATCAAGTTCTTGCGAATTAACTTTGCTCATTTGCAAGATCGGATCGCAAGGACCAGTTCTCGTCTACTTACATAGTGATGTTCCTAGAGGAGAGTAGAAGAGCAGCCAAGATACTTTCTGAATGGCTTTGAACTTCTCTGATTGCAATATTTGTTTAACATAAGAAAGGGCGAAAATCTCGAACGATCGGAGACATGTGCTTATTTTGTGAAAACTATCAAAGCTTTATTGTCTTAAAGACCAGTTTTCATTAAGCAAATATTCAAATTTACACTAAGCACATGGTTAGCACATCTTTGTTTACATAAAATCAAAATTTAGCCCTCGAAATTTTAAATTGCGTCAAAGCCTAGAAAATTGCAAGACACTGAAAATTTCATATTTAAGAAAAAGTTGAATTTTTTGAATCAGCCCCGCCCCTACCTGTGCCACATCCGTATTTGAATCAAAGGATGATTGCGGTGAACGACCGCCGAGTGTTGGTCCTCCATAGCCGGTAGCGACACCTAAATTTATTGTTTAATTAATTATTTTCACACAGCTGAGGAGTCACACAGCTGAGGAGTCACACAGCTGGTCCCTAACGGACTACAATTACAATAAGCGCATGCAGGTGAGATCACAAAAAACTTGGCACCCTTAGCAAAAAAAAAGGAGAAAAAGGAGGTGAAAATGACGAAGGGAACATCTGTTTTGGAACCTTATTTTCTTAGCTAGAAATTTAGCACTTTTTGCTGGATTAAGAAGCCCTGAAATGTGTAAAAAAATTTCTCTGTTTTTTCTCTCTAGCCCCCGACAGTGAAAAGAACCGGGTGCAAGAGAAGTTCAAGCTAGACGGTTAGAATACCAGCACTACTGCATCCACTATCACCGGCGTTAGCTAACGGACCAGCAATTCTTGGCAGTGCCGCCACGGACCCACCCGATATTCCGGCTCGACGTTTCCGTTGTTGGCGATACTGAAATAGATACAGAATAAGGTTTATCGCTCAGAAAAGGGTCAAAACTAGGCTTCAGCCTTGTTCAGCAGCATTTTTTGTGCCAAAAATTCGCTAGTCTGTAAAAACACAAATTTCGCGTGGAAGCTACAGTAGCAGAACTTGGCCATAGGACAGATGTCAGATTACTGTAATAGCAGTTTCTCTCCTAACCCGATAGGCACGTGGTTGAACGATACGATAGGAGTTTGAGCAAGCTTTTAGCCTGTTAAAAATTATTTTAGAGATTTCTTGAAAAATGAGACCCTAGAGACAGATCCCATTTCTTTCGTAGCAAAAAAACGACTTGAGCCTGCTCCGAAGAATGATTGCTAAAGGTTTTGAGTAAAACATGGTTGCTACCGCTCTTGTCTGCTATTTGTTTCAAGAAAAATTGTTCTGTTAAAGTGGAGGCGCTCGGAAAAAAATCTGAATTTTCTGAACTCAAAAGATGCATCTGGACTCTTCTCGAAACAAGAACGGTTTAGTTTAGAAATCTAAGACCAAGAACAGGATGACCCAAACATCGTTTTTTTTTCAAAATTTGATTCGCCAAACACTTCAAATGTAGTAGATTTAAATACAGTCGGTCAAAAATTCGGTATAGTTGGAAGAACAAATTGTGCCAATTGAAATTGAGTTGTGAGCTATATCGAGAGCTTTGAATAAATACCAATGAAAAATTATAGAGAAAAACGTTGCAGTAAAATTTAAGATAGTGATTCAGATTTTATAACCTACTAGTGAACCAGTAATTAAAGGTGTTAGGTTTGCATTTGCGCGCTTCGGGACCGCAACGTGGTTTCCCGCTGCCTGATGTTTTTGAATTGGCGTTACGATTTAGAAACGATTCTTTAAATATTAGATACTATGAAGCAGGGAAAAATTGGAGCTTTTTAGGTTCTCGAAAATTTGAATAGTGTGACAGGGGTTTTTGTGCCAAATCAATTTTGATACTCTTTACGGTAAGTCAGGTAATTTGGATATATTGAGGCTATAAACAAGGGGTGGAGTATTCTAATTAAATGTATAATTTGTTGCGTATGCAAACGGAAATTTATATCACTACTACCGTGATAGTAGTAAACAATCTTGTCAACATCATATGTAGAAATAACGCGATTTATTTTTATTAAAAGTAGCTCTAACAAGAAAATTTTTCATATCCCAAGAAAAAACTCACACTGCCACGCTCATCAAGGCTGTACATCTGTCGGAGTAAAGCCGATGGCATGCTCTCTCATTAATTTTATGACCTAAACCCTCTGTAACGACTTTGTACAAAAAATCTCGTAAAAAGGAATGCTGGAAAATTCTTCACGAAACCAATTTACGGAAAAATCCCAAAATAGAAAGATTCACGCTCGCTGAAGATGTTGTGAGACATGCACATATAGGAAAGACTAGAAATTCATCGGAAGTCCTTAGCGACGTCGTGGGTAACCACGGATGTTTATGGATTTAAAAGAAGAGATAAATATTCCACGTTAAGTGGCTAAAACGTGTAATCTTCCCATGAAATCTAAAAAGTAGATGCTTGGGGAAGAGATTGAGATTCCCAAAAGCCGTTCGTGAGCAGAAGCCAGAGCAAGAGTGAGTGACAGAGCTCCGGAATGTAATCACATGGGAAATCTGCATGCTATAATTCAAAGAAATTGAGAGAAAAGAAAAAGGAGTGATGAAGTGGTCATTTCCGAAAGGAGGAAAAGATGGATAGAGGAAATGTCTGCGGAGAGACTGTTGTGCAGAAGCTAGATTCTTGAAAATCCACTGAAAAATTCCACTTCAAAGCACTCGAATGGCAGAGGTATCCTTCAATTACTGTAGGATTACGGTAATTAATTAAACATTTCGCTACGCGAAAAAGTGATGATAAAGTTTGGGATCATGTAATCTTCCACAAAAGCACTGGAAGTTTGGAAGCTCAAAATATTGGTTTGAAAGGACCAGTTCGCGCTAGCTTGGATACCCGTTGTGAGACAGTTTTTGCCATTTCTCCGGTTACTGTAAGATTACGGTAAGTGCATAGAGCGTTTCCACACTTATATAGCTGAAAAGCACGCTATGTTTTTGTAAAAGCCCACACTTTATTTTTTCCTTCATCATAATTTTAAAAGTTATAAAACAAGTTTTGGCCTTCAACAGTACTGTAAAGCTGCGGTACAGGTATCAAAATTATCCCCAATTTTTCGGCTTTTCGATTAATCTGGTAAAATCAAATGCACTAAAAAATCGAAAAAAAAACTCGAAGTCACTTTAAGAAACTTCACACACGCAAATGCTGAATTGATGAGTATATTCTGACCATGCAAAAAAAACCCTGAGATTTTCTACGATTTCTAGGCACGCTATAGAGCTGTTGCACTTGTACTTCCTAGCGTGCTTTATGTTTTTCCCAGTGGGTAGAACGATGAGCATACTGCAAGGATTTTTTTTGCATTCCCAATCAATAACATGAAATTAGTGGCTAGAAAATTGTGTTTGCTGTAGAGAATAAATCTAATTTTCCCAATACTTCCACAACCTTTTAGCGGTATCATTTTACGTTTCAAACCAAATTCTTCCGTAATCTTAGACTGCATATGAGAATTATTTCATAAAATCTCAGTCGATTTTAAGCCTACATAGAGCTCGAAGCATAACCGAAACGAGGAGCTGGAAGAGTTATAGCTTGAAGCGATCATTCAAGCATTTTGACGAAAGAAGGTCAGTTATCGATAATTGATGCTTTGAGCAACTGATTATTGAAATGACCGACTACACCGTGTAAAACAGTTCTCCTCAATTAGAGAAGACTGTGTAGTAAACTGAATTTTGATAATTTTTAAAAATCAAATTCTTTTGCAAACCTGCAACTACAGACGATGTTACTATACTTTCAATTCAGCAGTGCAGATGAATAACTGATTCCTTCTGCAAAAACGTATTCGATAATCAATTATTGATTGAGTATTGATTGCTAAATTAAAACGCAAGTTCATTAGGGTGAAGGCGTGATACATTAGATCCATTGATTCATGAGAATACTATACAGATGATAGCTTTGCACTTACGGGACTTTTTAGGGCTATTTCAGAGCGGGTTTCAAGGCGATGAGGGCCTCAAAAGGGCCTTAGAGGCTATGTTTATAAAATTTTGAGAAGATAGACATTTCACGTTATTGCAGAAGGAAACAGCTTTGAATTGACTAAAGCAGTTTTGGTTACTTCTGTATCAAAAGCAAAGGGAATAATATCTATTGGATGGATGTTATAGCCTTGCCGCAAGATTGTGCATTATTGTGCAAATGCACAACATACAGAGAAAATCTGCTGCACCCACACGAATAATGCTGCAAGGAGAACTAAAACACTCATCAATATAAGTAGCGTTCCCTAATCCGAAGATAAACCCCCTGCTCTACTCCTCTTAGAACGTTCCGAAGTAGATCGGAAAAAACCCGTAGACAGAGCTAATGCTCGGGTAGATTTACTTGTGAGCTGCATGGAGCTAGATCTTGGAGTCAAACATGAACATATTCATTACTTGTATATGAAAGTCTGATGAATACCACCCACATACTGGGTCATTACATATGAATCTTTTTCCCATATGGGAATACTCTCCTACTTTATGCCTACAGCTGCTACAGGGCACTCAAGAATGTGCTCTTCTCTTCACAAACTGCGTCATCAAAGCGTCATCAGGATGAAATTCTCTTTCTAGTATAGGAAAAACATGGAAAAGCTTGTTTTCCTTTCAGAGAAGAGATTTGAGCAGGAAAATCGCGTTTAATGATGGAAAACAAGTGCTGAATACATTGCTGCTTTTGAAGAGGGTCTCGAAAATAGGAATGAAGCTGACGCTGTTAGAAAAAAAAACTACGAAGTCGGATCACTTAATTGTAGTCGAGTTCTGGAGGCTATGTTAGGAACATAAAATTTTTCAGAGACCTAAAAAAACAATTTTTGTGACGTCAGAATAGCAAAATTTTTTTCAAAAAAGAAGAGCGTGAGGATTTGTTTTTTTCAGGAGCGAGAATTTTTTTTAACACTCAGTAGGACGGCAGATATTCCATATCGCTTATTAAAGCTTGAACGCAACGAGCGCCACACCTCGTCTGCAGCAGCGCTGCTTTAGCTGTCTGCGTCTCGTGTGATCCCGTTGTCTCTTAAAGTTGAGCGTCAGGACCGCGCCGCGCAGCTTACGCATTCCTATAATGCCTGATCTGCCATTTTGGTTTTTGACCTATTTTCAGCTATTTTTTACATGTAGAAATTTAAGTGGTCATAAAAATAAAATATACCTACCAAACCGCCACATTTTCACAAAAATTCTTAATATTCTAAAACAACATGTACGCCCTAAAACGAATGCATGACTGCTTCGCTATCGCTCATCCCTCGCTCTATAAAATCTACGTAGTTATGCAAAACGCACGAAAAAATAGAATATTCTAGATTATGTGCAATTGCACTCAGCACGCATATGCTGCAATTGCATTTAACGATGAAGGTAATAAAGTTGAAGTAAAGTAACCTGCCCACGCTGGGCAAATATTTGCTTTTTTTCTTGCGACGTATGTATGCAAAGAAAGAGTAAAAAAAGGAAAAGGGGGGGGGGAAGGAGGAGATGTCCAGATGGTAATAATTTGACATGTGGTGCGAGGCAGATTTTTATGATGGCTGTGAATGAAGAGATGTCATGGGATCGTCTCAGACGTAAAAGAGGGTAAAAAATTCCCAAATCATCTCACCCAGACTAATACTCACTTCAAAATGACATACATATCTCATAAGGATGTTTTGGTGGAAAAACTGAAGCTTTTCAAAATAATTAGCCTTATAAGGAAGAAAAAGAAGTGAAAAGCCGCGGACGCAAAAACAACGGCAGAGGCGGCATGTCGAACAAATGACTAATTTAGACGAGTGTGGTGGAAAAGCATGGGTCTAACAAGCAATTGCATGCTATACGAGGAAAACAATCAAGGTAAGACCCACTAG